AAAAAAAAAAAAAAAGGAACATCTGCAGGGCTGGTATTGGGAACAGATGCCTGGAAGACGGTTCTCTGCAATTTCTACGTTAGAAACAATACACATGCGTCTAGCCCCATTGCATCCGACAGAAAAAGGACGTAGGTGCGGGCACAAAATTTTTACTGCCAGAATGACGTAAGACCATCACTGCTTCTTTTCTACGTCTGGATTATTTCTGGACCAGCCCCGAATACAGAACAAAAATAATCATAAACGTCTACAAATCAGTGCTATCAACTCCCATTTATCCTACAAATATTCTAGGTCCCGTCATAAGCAGAATACTGCCAGCCACCCGGAGACGGACGCTGGAGAGGGTGGAGGGAAGGACACAGGGGAAGCAGGAGCGGCACAGCTGGAGGGGCCACAGGCCGACCGCGGGGACACAGCCCGGGGCCGACGGCTGCAGCGTCGGAGGCCGTCTACGAAACACGTACCTGATTTTCTTTAGCAGAAGATTCCAAAAAAGCTGCGTTCCAAGACTCTGCTAATGCTTTCCCTTCTTCGTAACTGATCACCCTGAAGGAAAAAGAAGATTCTAATTAAAGTACTTGGCTCTTTCTTTATAAAACATCTATAATTATTTATGAGCCAGGCTCTAACTTTTAGCGATCGTTTCCCGTGTAAAGCGGAAGACCGCTCTCTGCCCAATATTCCTACCCAGCGTGTAACATACAGCAGCATTTTAATTACGCCTGGGCCGGGGAATGGGACGGACACGGCCTTGCCGGGTTACCCATGCTCCTGCGAGCCCTCCAAGTTCAGAGGACACGACTGCGCGTTCCTGTAACACTGATGGTCTGACAGGGGCGAGGCTGCGAGCACCCGAGGACGGGGCGATTCCCAAAGGCACGGGGTGCAGGCCTCTGGCCAGCCAGTCCCCTCTCCAGACGAGGCCCCGCAGGAGTGGGGCCCTTGTCCCTGACCACCGATCTCACGCCACCTGCGTCAAGGCGGGAGGGGGGAGATTTACGCTGTGGCTTTGCTTCTGCTTAGCTACAATCGCTGCCACGTTTCTGAACACAGAAGACGCTACAGCTGAGAATATTCTCGACGTGGGAACAAGAATTGCAAAAGGCACTTCCGTGGTGAGATCGGCGCAGGCTTCATTCTAGAAAGCAGTTCGCCATCCGGAAGGTACGCACCTTTCCATGTGTAGATCTTTCTTATTCCCGACCAGCATAATAGGTATTCTAGGAAGGGAAGGAAGAAAAAAGCCACAGTAAACCAGGGCCAGACCTGCCTGTTCACAAGACACTACGGTCATGAGGGCATCTGACAAAAGAGAACGAAACTGTTACTACTTACTGCACTTTCCCCACCATGTCCAACAATTTGCCGTGAATAACTTTAATCACTTCAAAACTGTAACACAAAAGCATGAAATCAGACCTCCATCTTAGGTGGTGTTTTTACGTGGTTTTTTAAATGTTTGTTTATTTCTGAGAGACAGAAAGAGACAGAGCACCAGCAGGCGAGGGGCAGAGAGAGAGGGAGACACAGAATCCGAAGCGGGCTCCAGGCTCCGAGCCGTCAGCACAGAGCCCGACGCGGGGCTGGAACCCACGAACCGCGAGATCATGACCTGAGCCGAAGCCGGACGCTTAACCGACTGAGCCACCCAGGTGCCCCTCCATGTTTCTTATATAATGTTTCTCGTGGGAAAAACATGGAATGTCACTGACTCACCACTGTAATATAAAATAAAGTGAACCCAAGGAATCTCATAGTTTTTTCCTATAAACCTTCTTTCACGTGAGCGTGTGACACTGAGTAACCCTTACTGACAATATTCAAGATGACGTACGTGAGATTATTAGATGGGAAACTCTACCAGTTGGCTGACAAATCACATAAACGCGTATTTTAATCTCTGAATAAACATCTGTAGGATGTTCTGTAGCTAGAGGGCCCTCGCGGTCAGCCCGCCTTCCACGTTAACGTGGTGGAAATGCACAGACAATAAACCGATTTACGTGGTTGTCATTCCCATTAGCAGAAAAGCTCAGATCACCTAGGCAGCTGGAGGTGAGGAATACAGTTTCCATTCTAGCAGTGCAAGAGAATGTTCATCGGGATACTTTTCCCCCTTAACAACCTGTTTGCTCCACAAGCCAATCACTGAGACGCATTAAGCCTGGTAAGGCTGATCGTTACTACAACCAGTTCCATCATAATCCTTTAGACGGCTGAACGCTATCTATGCAGAGCAAATAAACTCGAAGCAAGCAGCAGGGGGGGAGATCGTACCTTTTGATTGATGTAACAGAATACACAAGAATATAACCATTAATATCTATGGAGTATGTCTGAGGAAAGATGGAGTATTCATCCTGTGGGAGAGAAAATAATTCCATCTGAGTAAAGTCTTCATATAGCATAACAAGCAATCTTTACCCAAAGTTTTCCCCATATTACCTGGTCAAAGAAATCAAAGTCAACAAAGAAGTAGATTAAAACATTATTCTAGACACATAGCCCCACACACTGAAGACTTGTTTAAGACTGGTTTGGGGCTGCTAATTGTTTTAAGCTAATATTCAGAAACGATCCTGGCCATTCTAAGGCTTCTGGGGAGAAGGCTAATCACTTCTCCAAGTCCCGGTAGGGAGGATGAAGGAAACGTCAGGGCAACAGGTCCCGCAATCTTACGTGCAGTGAAAGGCACTAACGTTTCTTTTACGGACAAAAAGTCCAGAATCTTAGATCTCATGGGAAACTCACGAGTGCTTCTGGTTTATTCCACAAATTTGTGTTTTCATATTTAAAAGTGTTAGGTCATCACTAAACCTGTTCCCTGCACTTGAATCACAAGGGCCCGAATGCCAGTCTATGGGCCATTAATGGGCTGCTACCAGCACTTGAGAGGGTAAGAAGAGAGGAAGAGAATCCAAATGCTACACGTAGGGTACCCGGACTTCCGAGGATCACAGGAGTTACTTACCGAGCAGGTTTAGGAATGAACAACAAAGGTACACGTTATGTGACAATGTATCAGCAGCTACTTTCATAAAGCGGCTATAGGAGACTCAAATATAAAAGCATTCTAAAGGTCTAATGTCAGTGCAGTTTTCCTTAGTGCACGCCACTGTCTGGTACAAAACATTTTGTTCTCTGGTGAAATGTAACTGTCAACGCGCTGCGTATCCCGAGCAAGCGCTGTTCGCTGTTATATAGAACATCGTGTCAAACCACCATTTTATCAAAGAACTGTCTCTGTTAACTTTGCAGGTCCACAGGATGATTATAACTAATGTTCACGATGGCCCGCAATTATTACTATTTGCCACAGTAAAGTGTCTTTAAAAAAAACAACAAAGAGTAAGTTTTACTATCAGTTCTTGGTATCATAAATAGTAATCTTTAATTAGAAGATAGCATTTCTACATCACAGCGCTCACTACATACACAAAATAAAACGTTTGTTTCATTATTACTTTCAGATTAGTTTCACTAAGTCAAGTTCATTTTAGAAAAAAAGTTTTTTTAACGTTTATTTTTGAGAGAGCACGAGCGGGGGAGGGGCAGCGTGAGAGGGAGACACAGAATCCGAAGGGGGCTCCGGGCTCCGAGCTGTCAGCACAGAGCCCGACGAGGGGCTCGAACCCACGGACCGCGAGATCATGACCTGAGTCGAAGTCAGACGCTTAACCGACTGAGCCACCCAGGTGTCCCACCCCCCCGTTTTTTTTTTTTTTTTTTTAACATTTATTTATTTTTGAGAGACAGAGAGAGACAGACAGCATGGATGGGAGAGGAGCAGAGAGAGAGACAGACACAGAATCTGAAGCAGTCTCCAGGCTCCAAGCTGTCACCACAGAGCCCGATGTAGGGCTTGAACCCACAAACTGGGAGATCACGCCTTGAGCCAAAATCAAGGGTCGGGCGTTTAACAGACTGAACCACCCAGGCGCACCAGTCAAGTTTATTTTAGTGTTAAATTTTGAGAACATTTTTGTCAATGGAATGATAGATCTTTTCACCCAGATTAAAAACAACATTCCAAATGATTTTAGTCACCAGTTGAGCTACGGCAGATCCAAAGTTCAAATCACCTTTTCCCTGAAGAGAAGATGTGGAAATAAAAGAGTAATCATGATCACATGGGGTGCCTGGGTGGTTCAGTCGGTTAAGCATCCGACTTTGGCTCAGGCTGTGGTCTCACCGTTCGTGAGTGCAAGCCCTGCATCGGGCTCTGTGCTGATGGCTCAGAACCTGGAGCCTGCTTTGTGTTCAATATCTCCCTCTCTCTCTCTCTCTCTCTGCCCCTCCCCCGCTCACAATGGGTCTCTCTCTGCCTCTCAAAAATAAACATAAAAAAAAAAAGCTTAAAATAAGAAAAGAGTAATCACATTTCAGAGGCATGGTGCAAGGAACAACTCATTAAAAAGTATATTGGAAGGAGAGGACCTCCGGCTGTAACAGAAACCAAAAAGGACAAAATTTCTAGGAATAAACTTAAGAGAACGAAACTGTACGTTCCAACTGAAACTGGAACGAAACTGTACATTCCAACTGAAAAAGATCTGAAAATCCTCCCAAGAGATAAAACACTTTAAAAACTGCAACAGTGTGCTAAGGTCCTCAGCGTTCACGCACAGGTCTCCACAGTCCCCACTGGCTGATCCTGAATTAACACATGAATGCAACGTGAGCCCGATAAAAAGTGTCTTTTCCGAGAAATAGCAACTGTAGAAGCAGGTGGGTGAAAAGCACAAAGCTACTTATTTTAAACTTAAAGTAAGTACAGCACTAGTTCAGGAGCGAAGCAGACAGAAATCTACCAAGACCCAGACAGTCAGGGGGATTAGAGATGTGCTCATACCGGCCCTTCAGCTCAGTGAGGGAAAAAGTAACCTTCAACAAAACTGTGCAGGGAACAAGATCAGAAGCTTCTGGAGGTAAACGGCTGAGTCGCATCTCTAACTCACCCTTGGGCAAAAACACATTCCAGAGGAATTGAAGACTGCAAGATTAAAAATGGAAACTGCGTGCAGGGTAGATGGGAGAATTCTTTAAGAATAAAATCAGTTGAAAAGAGAATGATAAATTCAGCTATGTGAGAACGAGCAAGTTCTTCATGGCTAAGGACCTTTCCAACAGAAATCATAAACTGAAGACAAAACCTTGCGGCTCAGATCACCTACCATGCGCCTTTGCTTCACATTATTACACTTGATCTTAGCCAAAAGGCCGAGAAGCGATTGCTTCACATTATTAAGGGGTCTCTCAAACCCATCAGCAAAGACCATCCGCCCAATAGAAAAAGGGCAAAGTACACGGACAGGATAATTCCCAGAAAAGGAAACACACTTGCCCTCAAACAGGAGAACGTGGTCACACTCCTTCGTAAGAAAAATACTCACTAAAATGCTACTGGGGCACTATTTTTCACCTAGCGGACTGGCGAGTAACCAGACGTGAAAATGCACTGCGCTGATGGATGTGTCGGGGAACAGGCAGGCACTCGCTCCTTGCTGGTGAGAAGGTAAGCGGCCACCCTATGGCCCAGCGACCCCACAGCCACGACATGTCCTCACACACACACATGGTCTATAATGACACAAGATACGGATCGCAGCGCTGCTGGTGGCACCAAGACTGGAAATGACCCACTTGTTGGTCAACAAAGTACGCTGCGTCCAAACAACAACGCGCTACGCAGCAAGTGGAGGGAAAAAGGGCCACAGGGACCCACGTGGAATCACCTCCAAGACAGAGACGCAGGGACAGGTTACTCTCTGCGTAAAAGAGAAAAAATAAAACTACAACTGTATGTCCCAGTACAGAGTATCTGCAAAGCATCTACTAGACACTGGTCACGGGGCTGTTCGTGGAGGGCTGGAGCTAATGCAGCCAGAGCCCCAAAGACCCAAGTGTTACTATTTACCTTTTGGGGTTATTCCAGTTCTGTAACACGGGCATTTATTACTGTTTTTTAAAAAACGGACTTAAGTACGTAATACTTGTTTTTTTAAAAAGGGGGATTTGACACTATAAATATGACTGTCACTGGGGCGCCTGGGTGGCTCGGTCAGTTAAGCGTCCAACTTCAGCGCAGGTCACGATCTCGCGGTCTGTGGGTTCGAGACCCGCGTCGGGCTCTGTGTGGACAGCTCAGAGCCTGGAGCCTGCTTCCGATTCTGGGTCTCCCTCTCTCTGTGCCCCTCCCCCACGCATGCTCTGTCTCTCAAAAATGAATAAATGTTAAAAAATTAAAATTAAAAAAAAAAAAAAAAAATGACTGCCACCGATTTACCTGTCATTGAGTCTACTTCAATTAGGCCCGAACAAAGTATTTCATGCAAACTAAAAACCATCCACTTGTACTTGACCATGTTCACTCCCTCCCCTTGCGGGCAGCAAAACCTGCTACGACATAAACTACCAAGCAGATAGTACTTGCGGCGACAGTGTTCCTCTTAAAACGGGTCAACTGCAAACACGCTATAGACTGTTTGAAGAATCTGCCCTCTCATCACCTTCCCCTGCCATGGGCACTCTTCGCTCCAGCCCCAGCCCCTAGGAATCCAATTTAAGAACAGCTGTAAACGTGTCGTGTTGTCCAGCTGCCGCAGAACAAGGTGTTCGCGGTTACAGAACCGCAGCAAAGCAAAGGTGCGTGTCGTTAGCATCACGGATCGTAAATACGAACAGCACCTTCTATTTCAGAGTCTCCCAACTGAACGTAGCCTTGAAGAACTACTAGCTGCAACGAGCACGAGTTACTCGAGGCAGCTGAATCTGGAATCTGGAATTTGTGCAAAAATTCTCTAGCTATTCTGATCTGGCAGTAACAGGCCCAAAGGAGCGCGACAGGCAGAGCTGGTCGCGGACCTCGCTCTCGCCGCCCCTCCCACCATCCACCCGCTCCCCAAGATCTCTGATCCTTTTGGGGTGATTCTTTATTACTCTATCACTAAAACAGTTACGGGCACGTGACGCTCAGTGCCAAGCAGAATCCCAGAGGGACACATCTTCTATTCTGATAAGGAGTCAGCATAAAGAAATTTTCTCTAGAGAGATTTTCAAGGACAGCGCTATTCCAAGGATAAGCGACACCCGCACTCCTCCCATTCAGGGTCATGTTAACATCAGCGGAGTTGCCATGCTGGGCATCGCTCTGGTCTTAAGAGCATCAAAGGTCTACAAGTCAGGACCCAAGCTTCTGGAAGCTCATCAATCTCCTCTAAACCATGCAACAATCCTGTGAAGGCGGGCACTACAGAATCATCTGTTTACAGATGAAGAATCTGAGACCAAGAAAGGTTCATTAACTTTCTCAAGGTCACCAGGCTAGCCAAAAAAAAAAAAAAAAAAAAAAAAAAAAAAAAAAAAAAAAAAAAAAAAAAGCCAGGGTTCAGGATTCAAATCCAGGCAGCACGACTGCAGAGACCACGTTCCAAACTATGAAACACTGGTTTCTCCTTCTGGCCTATTATAAAATGAATTTCTATAGTAACATTACACGAAAGCGATTTACTGATTTACATCCTCACCCCCATTTTCCAGAAGCTTTAACAAAAATTCTAAACGAAGACATAAACAGCAAAGCAGGATCTTGGTAAAGTCAGAGGCCCACTATGAACGAAGTGCCTGTTATTTCTTCGCCCAGGACCCCATCCGTTAACACCTGCTGTTCTAGCATAATTGTTACCAGGGCTCCCTTCACTCTTAGTTGTTTTAGGCAATAAATTGTACCGGTCACCTTAACCACGAAAGACACAAACTCTAAGAATCGAACGCAACGTCGGACCCCAGAGGCTCTCCTACAGTGACTTCTAAGATAAGCTCTGTCCTCTAGGTCACGACTCCCCTATGGAGACTCTGTTCCTCTTCTGCTTTACGCCCCAAACTCCCCTTCGGTCACTGGACAGGTACCCTGTAGAGTCAAAGTCCAGGATGGCTCTGCTCTAAGACAGCCATCGTGAGATCTGAGGACGGAAGCCCATTATACCGATTACCCAGTGGCCTGCAGGGTGAATGAGGGAGTCACGTGGCATACCCCTGGGACGTGCGCATTTATTTTCCTTGAAGCTTCCAGAATTGAAACTCCAGGGTTCCTTTGGTGCTCAAACCACTCAATATAGCTATTGCTTCACTAGGGGGCTACACTTTGCTTCTATGTTCACTTCAGAACTTAAGGGTGGGGAGGGGGTTCATTCCAAACTCACATGACGGGTCACATCATTCTAAGTCTATCTCAATCTTCCCAGGTTCCAGGAAAAAAGCCTCCATTTAACATGGCAGATCAGGCTACACTACACGCGCTTCCCTGCTAGTCTGATCCTCTGTCGATTGTAAGAAACAAGGCAGGACTCGGACGACATCCCAGCCTCTTGAAGGTCCCACTCCAGCAAGTGTAATAGATCTGGCCCAACAGAACGGCTTCTAGTAAAAGCCGGACCAGGTGCCACGGGAATGGGTGAAGCTCAGCCGCCAGGGTTAGGAGTTTCTTTGTACTCTTCAAGTTCTCTGAACTTCTTTCACCCGCTGGTTCTAGTCAATTCCCCTGGCCATCCTCCGCCAAATCCCTGCTACATTAACCCGTGAAGACCTTTTTTTTTTTTTGGTTGTTTAATCTTTGGCAATGACTTACTGCCTAGCAAATCAAATCAACACTCCTTAAGCTCGTGATCATGTCATCCATCTAGAAGTCACCTCATTTCTGCCCTATACCTTTCTCATCCCTTTCCCCAGGAAAAGACTTAACTTTTGTTTTTCTAAAGAAATTGTTGTATGTTTTCATTTATTTTTGAGAGAGTGAGAGTGCGAGCAGGGGAGGGGCAGAGAGAGAGGGAGACACAGAATCCAAAGCGGGCTCCAGGCTCCGAGCTGTCAGCACAGAGCCCGATGCGGGGCTCGAACCCATGGACCGCGAGATCATGACCTGAGCCAAAATCGGACGCTCAACCGACTGAGCCACCCGGGCGCCCCTACTTTTTTTCTCCTTAATGTAGAAAGGGAGGAAAAGCACTATAGGATTCTGACATAAAATGCAAGTTTAAAAAACAGAAATACACTATCCTATGATATATACAAACCTTCCTGATGCTATGAGTGCATTTAACACAATTCTAGAGTAGAACAACAAGTTAATGATTCGGAAAAACTGCCACAAATGTCTTAGAAGACAGCCTGTTAATATTCAGGCACACATAAATCAGGAGGGGCTTTCCTGGCATCACTGTTGCGTTTAAGCATCAACGGCAGGGCCGGGACCGCTAGACAGAGGACAGCGGAAGGGGACTCTGAGACACCAGACTTACTTGTCCAGCTGTGTCAACAAGCTGAAGATGATATTCTTGTCCATTTACTGTGATCAATTTTGTGAAAGCTACAGGGAAAAAGGGAATTAAATATTAGTAAAAAGAATTGACTTTAGATCAGTTAAAGCTTGAACACCGACCACCGATTAAGAAGAGCCCCTAATCGTTTCATAAAAAGATCCCACAAAGCAAAATGGAACAGATCTGAGTTTACAGATTCTCCCCTCTTCCATTATTTAAGTAACAGATACTGGCTGATGGATGAAAATCCAGCCTCGGTACACCTTGAACCTCGTTCCATGAAACTGAAATTAGGCAACAATTCATATGCTGTAAAAGTCATGTGAGTGCTCCGTGGCTTACACCTTCCTCTGTGAAAAAGAGAAATACATTACATAAAGTGTGAGGTCTAGAATGGACCCAAAGCACAAAACCTTTCATTAATGTAGAAGTCTGGCGTCAGAGCACAAACAGCTAATATTAACTGAAGTGTTAAGAACGTCCAGTACATAAAAAAAATGATCAATTTCATCGACATAAAACGGCAACGGCACAGGTGTTCTGCATGAAAGCCATCATTCCCACTTAGCTTAAGCATCTGAGCAATTTGTGACAATCTCTCTTCCCTACCAAGGGGGGGGAAAAAACCAGACTCATAACTTCCGGAAAAGTCCATTCAGAATCCCGAGGAGACAGACTTCAAACAAATGTAGACAAAAGAGGAAAAGAACTATTAATAGTAAGAGAATATTGAAGAGTAACCATCTGGAACCCTGACAGCAGAACGGAACTTATTTCTTTTGCGTCCATGGTCCTGGCCATCTTCACTTAAGACGCGTCGTTGGATCTCCTGGCTGGCCACTCGACTGGACCAGAACCGGGCCACAGAATCGGTCCCTTGCACAGCTGGGAGAGGACCCACTGTTGTCCACTTTATCCCACAGCCAAAAGGGAAAGCACAGCAGACATATGAAAATTATGAGAGAAAACTGGGAAGTGACCAGGGGGACAGAGAAGAGACCTTCCCTGGAGGAGGAGTTCCACGGGAGCACTCCCCTACGGCCAGCAGGGGTGCTAGAATCGGGAGGAAAGACCACAGACCAGGCCATCCACACCAGTTGCCACATTTTTCCTCCCTTCATTTGCATGCCTTAATGGAGACTACCACTTTAGAGAATAATTTCACCAGATGAAAACCGAATCCAAATGATTTCAAGATAGGGAGTACACAACATAATGTGTTTCATCAATTTTATTGCATTTTTCTTCCACACTGGAACTTCTCTGAACGTGGGGTGCACCTGGCCTTGACTGTGCTTTTGATCACTATCAGCCAGGGGGCAGTCATGATGCTCCTGTGTGAAAACCTGCCACTGACACCTTAGTCGGGGAAGATCAAAAAGTATATTCAAGACGATGAAATTTATGTAAGGAACCGTGATGAGCAGTAAAACAAGTAACCTTCAATTAGATTTAAGTGACTGTGGTTATGAAGTATGACATAATTATTATGACAACACTACTAAACAAAACAGCACTCATTCACGCAAGAGCTCTTTTTTGAGTACCTATGATCGCCAGGAGCACTGTTCTCGGAGCTCGAAATACTGCAGCTGACCTCAGCGTGCTTACAGCCCCAGGGGAAGGAAGGGAGACACCGTCAGGCACGTCTTTGGGAGAAGAGCATCCGGAGGTCAAAGAGCCAGTGCCAAAGCCCGGCGAGAAGCAAGATCAGCACAGAAGCGGAGAGAGTGCTGGGGCGGTAACCAGGTTGGGGAGGAGGCAGAGGACCTTTTAGGAGATGGTAAGGACTTCAGAGTTTCATTCTAAATGTGCTGGGAAACCAAGGGTTCTGAGGCAGGGGAGTAACTTGGTCTGATTTATATTTTAAAGAGATCGCTCTGGCTATGCTGTGAATAAGAGAAATGGACAAGAATGGACCAAGGACATTGGTGGGGGTCCATAATATAGTGCTTACGTAGACTCGGGATCTGAAGACAACGATGGTGGTCTGGGACCAGAGAGCCATGGTGGAATTCAAAGGGAGAGCCAAAAGGATGAAAACAAAATTTTTTAAATGTTTACTTTTGAGAGAGCGAGAGTGCGCGAGCACAAGCGGGGAGAGGCAGAGAGAGAGACACAGAATCCGAAGCAGGCTCCAGGCTCTGAGCTGTCGGCACAGAGCCCGATGTGCGGTTCAAACTCAGGAACCAAGAGATCATGACCTGAGCCGAAGTCGGATGCTCAACCGACTGAGCCAACCAAGTGCCCTGAGCCAAAAGGATTTCTGGCTGGAGGCAGGGTGTGAGAAAATGGAGAGGTGGGAGGACTCCAGAGTTTTTGGCTTGAGCCACGAGATGCATGAATTGCCATTTGCCAATTCGGGAAAGCCCGGGGAAGGAGCGCTGCAGATGGGGGAGGAAGCAAATGAAGACGACTACACCCAAGGGGAAGCGAGGGCAGCTGAACAGAAAAGCCCAGAGTCTGGGGGAGAGGGTGCGACTGGGGGTTTTGGGAAACAAGCAAACTTCTGGGAAGAAGGGAAGATCGCTGGCGATCAAGTACCGCGAAAGCCCTAGCCGGACTTTGGAGCCCAGGGCCCCCCGATACTGCCAGGTCAGGAAGATCAAGATTCAGCCAAGGAGACGGGAGAAATACTGGCCACGAGGGAAGAGTCAAACGGGACGACACGTAATTGTACAGAAGATAAAGGAAATGAAGCTATTGATCAATGTGTTAGTATATCCTTGCACATAAAAAGGATGTAAATCCTCCTACACACAGCAGTAAAATGAAATCGAGGCCTTTCCATCTGTCATGGAAAACTGCCTCTTCTTATTACTATAGAAAAAAAGGAAGTGTAATAAGAGATCTGTCAGCTCCACAAACTAGGAACCAATTCTTCTACGCACTCCATGTTCGATCCTGCACAGCAGTGGAAAGCTGGCTTTCTCCTGGCATCGCTTTCCTCGAGCCCTCTCTCCGCCCCCCTCCCTTTTTCAATCACTAGAGAAATTAACCCACTTCCCCCAACGAAAGTCCTGAAACTGCCCTAAGCAAGGCTAACAGTGACGTATTCGTAGAGCCTACTAATGAGGGACAGATTTCTAAGATTTGGAATGCGCCAAATAAGATCTGTGTTCCTGAAGTGTATCACAATCTCCTAATTCGTATCCTACTGAGAAGGCTACCCACCATGCAATGCTTGATAATGCTGCAAAACTCCTAATTAGAACGGTCCCGTTTTCTCAGCTTTATTAACGCATCAACAGTACTACCTGGAAATGGCAGAAGTTGTAAATCACTACTATTTTTCCTCCTCTAATCGACCAACTACCCCTACTGGTTAAATTTCACCAGAGCAATTTAGTTTGTATTGAGTTGTTAGATCAACAACACGGTAGACAATCTACACATTTGCGTAGGTAGTATTTTTGGCATAAAAACATCCCCAAGCTAGAAAAATACAGGGTTTTATTAATGTTATTCTCCTACATTCCATTTTCTTTTATTAAAAAAAAATTTTTTTTAATGTTTATTTTTGAGAGAGAAAGAGCGTAAGCTGGGGAGGGGCAGAGAGAGAGGGAGACACAGAACCGGAAGCAGGCTCCAGGCTCGGAGCCGTCAGCACAGAGCCCGACGCGGGGCTTGAAATCATGACCTGGGCCGAAGTCGGGACACCTAACCGACTGAGCCACCCAGGCGCCCCCTCCTATATTCCATTTTAAAAGAAGATGAGACAGTCTCAGAAGTTTGGCTTTTGTGGTAATGTCTCAGAGATGCGTCACCACTGAATGTTTGCTATGAACCACCTGTTCTATGTTCTGAAGTTAAGTGCAAAATAATTACCGGATTCTTTCCATATTTACAGAGTACTGTTTTTTTTTTTTTTTTTCGAACCTTAAAACCATCCATTCGTTGGCAACAGGTTTATGATAACCTGTTCCATTTCTAATTCCCTGTCATCACTGAGCAATGTTTATTTTATTGTTAATGTTTATTTATTTTTGAGAGAGAGAGAGAGAGAGAGAGAGAGAGAGAGAGAGAGAGACAGAGTGGGAGCAGGGGAGGGGCAGAGAGAGAGAGAGACAGAATCTGAAGAAGGTTCTAGGCTCTGAGCTGTGAGCACAGAGCCCGACTCGGGGCTCGAACCCACAAACCATTAGATCATGACCTGAGCCGAAGTTGGGACGCTCAACCAACTGAGCCACCCAGGAGCCCCTACTGAACGATGTTTCTGACCAAACAGCACAGGAAACAGTGGAGAAAGGGTTTCTTCCTGGGTTGGTCAGAAGCAGGGTAAACAGAAGCTGATGTGTGCATACAACTCATGAACTTTTAAGCGATTCATATACCCTGACACTCATTTTCGCTCCTGCCTAAAGACTTTAATAAATATTCCAAATTCATTTTTGAGATGAAAAAATAAAAGTCTTTTTTATTGAACACGAAGTAGTAGGAAACATTAAAAACACGATTAAAGATGTTGACAGACTTCAGGTTGGGTCATTCAATTTCTAAGATGATATCAAAGTAAGGAAGCTGGACGTTCACTGGATCTTTTACTTACATATAAAGAAAATATATCTGTACACAACACCATGGCTTTCCTTCCACCTTAGTTATAAATGGCACATAAACACTCAAAAATAAGAACCACCTTTATAGGCAGGCCTAACCAAGAAAACCGTACTGTATTATTCTGTGAATAAAATGCCCAAATGAGACTTATCTTAAGGACACACAACTCTCTAAGTTGTTACGTACAGCAAATGTTAAGACCAAGAGCACGATTTGCTTGTGTTCTTATTCCAATGGAGAGATAACCAAACTTGTCCACCTAGCACTCAAATTTGTTTTACATTTATTCATTTTTGAGAGCCAGAGAGAGACAGCGCACAAGCGGGGTAGGGGCAGAGAGAGAGGGAGGCACAGGATCCGAAGCAGGCACAGGATCCGAAGCAGGCTCCAGGCTCCGAGCCGTCAGCACAGAGCCCGATGCGGGGCTCGAACTCACGAACGGCGAGATCGTGACCCGAGCCGAAGTCGGACGCCCCACCGACTGAGCCACCCGGGCGCCCCTGTCCACCTAGGATTCAAATTCATCTGCTCCTCACACCGGCGTACTGTTCTGTAAGTCACAGCCAAACAGATCAGCACAGGATGTGCCCGTAGTCAGGACTCTTCCTTTCTGGACACTGGCCGAGCTTACTTTCAAACCCGGGTCTTCCCAGGGTCAGTTCCCCGACAGGTTTCCTTCCCCGCTACCAGCATACTGGGACATGAGGGACAGCTGCATGTTTTAAGTCAGAGGTGGGCAAACTCTTCCTATAAAGGGCCAGATGCTACTGTAGAACAAAAGCAGCCACAGACACTACGTAAATGAATGAATATGGCTGGGTTCCGATAAAACTTTATGGACGCTAAAGCCTGAATTTCACGTAACTTTCACATGTCCCAAATATTCTTCTTCTCTTAAACCTTTTTTAATGATTAAAAAATGTAAAAACCGAAAAAAAAAAAAAAAAGTAAAAACCATTCTTTGCTCATGGGCTGTACAAAAAGGCAGTGGGTCTTTCTGGCCTACAAGCCATAGTCTGTCAACTCCCCTGTCGTAAGCCTCTTTGGAAATCTCTCTCGTGAGCGCCGGGCAGATGAGATCTATGAATCTAGTTCACGAACCTGACCGTTAAGTCGGCTTCATGTCTAATGCGCCCATCAGGGTTTGATGAATCCCATGTTTAAATGTGTGTGTTCCTGGTGACAAATCCTGGGGAAGCCCAGGTGCCAAGAATCTCAGAAGACTAGTTCTAGGGCCTACTTAGGGTTTTAAGATCGCCCGAAACGAGCAGCTTCCGATAAATCAGCTTCTCTGCATGAAGTGCTTTAGATTTTCCTCCATGACTCTAGAATCAAGACCTCTCTCATGGTCCTAGAATCCTTCAAGAAGATTCTGAAACCATGGAGTGAAACCGGACAAGGTAAATGAAGGTTGTGGTTGGTCCCGGTCTTTGGGGCTTTTCTCTGCGCGTGGCCAGAAATGCCTACAGGCTTTAGAACCAACTTTGTTTTCATGCTGCAACTGCTCTCTCCATCCCAGAATCGCTCACTACTCCACAGCCTTGACTTTCAAGTGTTCATGACTGGAAGGGGTTGGGGGGCTGCGGGGGAGGGGGCCGGGAGGGCTGGTGATTCCGTGTAAGAGTAAGGTACAAAGGAACTAGAGTGTTTTCATCCTTCCTTTTCAAGCTTGGAATCCTTAAAAAGGGCTACTGTTGAGAAGAAGGGGGGGGGGAGGGTGCGGAGATTGTGTGCTCTCTTCTTGTTTTCCTGAAGCAGAGTCTGGGACAGGAGGTTCACTGTAGGACTGGATTCCTATGGAACTGAATAACAATTTCTCGATGGAGGGATTTGGATACTGAGTAAAAAATCCATTCAGTGTGAAGCGGGTCAAACTTCTGGAAGCTTTTCTGGACCCCCGTTGGAAATCTATAGGTTTACCCCAATAACCCCTGCAATCAAAGCCTCCAGAAGTACACAATGGCTGTTTGTATGTAGAATGCAGGCTTCTCAGTTTATAAACCCTTGAAAACAATACTTACTGTTTTCTATGGTTGGGTCGTAGGAGTCAACAAATTGGCCTTCAACAAACTGAATCGTCAATGAGGATTTCCCTATAAAAGAGAGCAAAAGCTCAGTATGTATTTGCATATTAAGGTAAAAAAAAAATTCTACTATTTTACAAAAAAACCCCACTCTAACAAGATGAAGAAACGGAAAAGTACTGGGATCAGAACACCTGCCTTTAAATAAGCCTTTGGGCAATTTCAAAAAGGAAATAAAATTTCAAGAATCTGCTTTCTAGGAGAGGAATTTAACCAATTAAGCTATAATGAATTAAAACACTTTTGTGACATTAACAAATATTACTGACCAGCAAACGTTTCACATATTCTGTTAAAGGTAAACTCTGCAATAAGCTCTAAACTAAGCTAATTTCCTCTGGTGTCCCTGAAATGTGGGTATTAATTTTAATACAGAAATTATTAAGACAGGATTTGTTTCTTTGGGCTCTTTCCTATGTGGCTGTTAGAAATGTTACCAGGTACAGCTTTTAATTTTTTCTTTTTAACGTTTATTTATTTTTGAGACAGAGACAGAGCATGAATGGGGGAGGGTCAGAGAGAGAGGGAGACACAGAATCCGAAGCAGGCTCCAAGCTCTGAGCTGTCAGCCCAGAGCCCGACGCGGGGCTCGAACTCACAGACCATGAGATCATGACCCGAGCTGAAGTCGGACACTTAACTGATGGAGCCACCCAGGTGCCCCTAATTTTTTTTTTTTAACGTTTATTTATCTTGCCAGAGAGAGAGAGAGAGAGGGAGAGAGCGAGTGCGCGAGCGAGCATGAGCGGGGGAGGGACAGCGAGAGAGGGAGACACAGAATCTGAAGCACATTCCAGGCTCTGAGCCATCAGCACAGAGCCTGACGCGGGGCTTGAACTCACAGACTGTGAGATCATGACCTGAGCCGAAGTCGGACGCTCAACTGACTGAGCCACTCAGGCACCCCTCCAGGTACAGCTTTTAAAGAGGGTAATGTGAGACATGTAAAAGAAGTCTTTAAAAAACTCCTCGAAGGCAGAAATCCTGCCTGAACCATTCAGTCTCAAAAGCCTAGTGATGTCTGGCACACACAAAATAATGAAGAAATGTTCTGGACTTTATAATAAAATCACTTTCTCATAATTGAGCCTATGTGCTAACCAATCAAGAGCCGGAGGCTTAAGTTCTCAACTATTTGATGCCTAAAATTTCACCTGCTGGACTTCAGAGCGGGGCACTCTGTAAAGATAGTGTGAGAACAGTCCAGGAAATGATGTAAGTGGTTCCCCCCCCCCCCAAATTTCACCCCAAACACTTTCTTCTCTCGTACGTCTCCCAGAGCACTAGTGTTTTTTGGGTAAGATTTAATTTTTTAACTAATCTCTACACCCAGTGTGGGACTTGAACCTACAACCCCGAGGTCAAGAATAGCATGCTCTTCAGATTGAGCCAGCCAGGCGCTCCCTATTAACTTTACACACATGCTCTACATGTTCGCTGCATCTCACCGGACTTTTATCTCAAAAGACCTTCAGGGAGAGAGGTTTGCACCAGGAGCCTTCTGCTTCTGAGGGGTTTCGGTTGGCACGTTTTCATAACACAGGCAGCACCCCCCCCCCCGTACTTAGAAATTAATGAATTAATAAACTGGTTTACAAGTGGGAGCTGCGGGGAGAAAACTAGAAAACCCCCAAGTTGGCAGGACTATTTTACTCCTCACGGGCAGTTAAACACACAGTTCAAAGTGTTTCTAGAATTATTAAAACCCGAAATCATTGTCTACAGAAGCAGCCTACAAGAGCTTTTGACAATTAAAAGTTACCTCCCTGCTTTAAATCCTCATTTCAATTAGAATAAATTTCCTGGGGCACCTGGGTGGCTCAGCAGTCGGTTAAGCGGCTGACTTTGGCTCAGGTCATGATCTCACAGTTCATGAGTTCGAGCCCTGCACTGGGTTCTCTGCTGTCAGCACAGAGCCCGCTTTGGATCTTCTGTCCCCATCTCTCTCTCTGCCCCTCCCCTGCTTCCTTCCTAGCTCTCCCTCTGTCAAGAATAAAGTAAACATTAAAAATTAAAAAAAGAGTAAGCTCCCAAATCCCAACCAGGCCGGGCCCTGCTCCGTCTACCCTCCCCCAACCCCCCCAACCTCTCTGCTGCCCCTCCCCAGACCCTCCCAGGCCCATTTGGCACATCCCCCTCTGTCCCTCTGTTCTAGCATTCTCTGCACACGACTCACTTTTGTCATTACTTTGGGAGCTCAATGGCCCTTCTTCAGAGATGCCTCTGCTAAGACCACCCCATCTAAGGTGGCACCCACTCCCTAAGGGTCACTCTATCACAGCCATCCTGCTTTTTCTCCGTAGTGCTTGACGTTATCGGACACTGTCTTCGCTCATCAGCCTCCGGAGACCAGTATGGTGACTGAGGGGTACAGCAGACGCTCAGGTTTTGGAACGAATGAATGAGATTAAAACTTACGTGTCCAAAGGGCACTCTCACGCATTCTGGATGTTATAAAAGATCTCAATTTTATACCCAAGGCAAGGAAAGACAGTTCAACAGGAATTAAGAAACAGTTATTTAGTGTTTATTTTGGTATCGAACCACGAGCCTGCCTGTGCTATGTGGAATACGGGGTCATCCAGGAGCCCACACGTCTCAAAGGGACTGTGTTCAAAAGAAAGCACGTTATCGAAGCTAGTTCATAAAGAGCATTTAAGTTAACAGACAGCAAACCTATTTTATGTAAGGAAACAGCAAGAGAAAAAAGTCTACTAAGTCAGCCAAACTGAAAAAATTTAAAGGAGTAGGAAAATTCTTATTTATACTGAATGCTACTGCTTCAAGCAAAAGACATTTAATTGGAAAGGAAAGAGAGAAAGAAACTTCTTTAGGGCTTCTAAGGGGACTTCTGGGCCCTCCGGTGGGCACTCTGACACCCCTAGGTAGGCTAAGGGAGGGTTTTGGCTTGTAAATGGAAAGAAGGAAGGAAGCACAATGTAATTTTTCTTAAAGATAAAAGGGCAAGAGTTACAAGGGCTTCAGAGGATTTTTACACCTTTTCCCAAGTAGAACCGGGTTAAGAACAGTGGAAGAAAGGGGTTGCCCATGACACCCATGATGAGCCCCTCCGAGAGGAGGCAGGAAACACGGAAACACAGCTCAGAGTGGTGCCAGGCAAGCTTCAAGGGCCTCACTTGCAGGGGTGAAGGGGCAGAGAGCAGAGCCTCGGAAGTTATCCCAGGAAACTTAAGAAATTCAAGAAGACACACGTTTAACAAGACAGCATGACATTAAGTGCAACGACGGAGTATTACATAAACCAGCGGCCCACGTTTTAAAAATACAATTCCTGGCGCGCGTCCAAAGAGGAGTTTCTCACATATGTCATGAAGGGCGTGAATTATACAAAAGGCTAAATTAACACTGCACTTGAAAACACGGATAATCATTCTGGCGAAAGGCAGACAGTGGAGTCCAACGCAAATCACAGTGCGGGTTGACACAGCAAACTCTCGTCTTGGCAAGTAACTGGGACACCCGAATTTAAAGCCCCGGTCTTTAGGGAGCCAACTGGCTTTCTTGCATCTGCCTGGTCCTGGGAGAAGGGAACCATCCATTAGCAGAGGCAGGAGGGCTCTGGCTTCCCCTGGGGTCTCTCCTCCTCTGCACTCTCCCCTAGGGGGAGGTGATTAATTATTTAAATGAAGAAGGGACAGGAAGACCACGTTTGCTGATAGGACACAGCGGGTTTTTCTGCCGTTTCCATTAAAAAGTCGAATTACGGGGCGCCTGGGTGGCTCGGTCGGTTGGGCGTCCGACTTCAGCTCGGGTCGTGATCTCGCAGTTGATGAGTTCGAGCCTCGCATCGGGCTGTGTGCTGGCGGCTCAGAGCCTGGAGCCTGCTTCTGATTCTGTGTCTCCCTCTCTCTGCCCCTCCCCCGCTTATGCTCGGTCTTTCTCTGTCTCAAAAATAAAGATAAACGTTAAAAAAAAAAAATTAAAAAAAAAATAAAAAGTCGCATTATTAGGCAGCCAGTGTTGAGACCTTTATATTAATGTTAGTAAACACATCCCACTTTTCATAACGTCCTTAGCCTCGCTTCCAGCAATTTCTGGCTTTCAGGGACCTCCTCGTCCTCTAGAGCAGTTTGCAGCTACAAAAGGCATTGCTGATCCACAAATGACACTCTTTTTAAACACAAAAATTTTTTTTAATGTTTACTTTTGAGAGCAAGAGCGAGAGTGCGAGAGAATGTGAGAGATAGAGCAAGAGCAAGGGAGGGGAAGACACAGAATCTGAAACAGGCCCCAAGCTCTGAGGGGTCAGCACAGAGCCGGATGTGGGGCTCGAGCTCACAAACTTCGAGAAATCACGACCTAAGCCGAAGTGGGCCGCTTAACCGCCTGAGCCACCCAGGCGCCTCCACAAGTGATATTCTTGATCACCTTTAACGTTTTCCCTTCATTATAACGTCATAAATTTACTGTGGCCTTTACATTTATCAAATTCAGATTCTGAAACACTAGTTACTTCCTGAAGACGTTTCAGCAACAATCGTGCTCTCAGTAGGCTCATAAATTTGTACGATCTGAGAAGACCCTCAAATTCCAGATCAACTCTCTGGAGAAATGTTGTATGAAAACACATGAGCGATCTGAAAGAAAATAAAAGGCACCACATACGCAGATGTGTGTTATTAACGCACAGAGGGGCGCAGATCACTCATTTTATGACATAACGTAGTACTAAAAAGGTTTGAAAACAAAATATCCCCATCTTCCACAATTAACTTCCAAATACTCTTCGGCTAGACTAAAACCCCCCTTAACTTTAAAAATCCTACAGATTTTCGATTTTTTTTAAGTTTACTTATTTATAGAGAGAGCACGGGGGAGGGGGAAGGGCAGAGAGAGAGAGAGAGAGAGAGAGAGAA